AAGCGTGATGGTGTGTATACGCGCCTCAGCGTTCAACTAATCAGTCGGCCGTGACAGCCTGCAAATGTAGCACACGAAGTGCAGACACCCAAAAGGCTGAAACCGAGGAAACAGGGTGGATGTTGCGACGGTTAAGAGCCGACAGGGCACCTCGGATAGTTGGGTACGAGGTGTCCTGATTAAATGGACTTCTGTGCGGTTGAAAAAAAAATATTTGAAATTCCGATGACTGAAGGTGGTCGGAGTGTATAGCTGGCCGAGTGCATACAAGGACCAAAATTGCTCGATACTTCTTTTTCTTTCGCAGTTGTCTGTCTAAGTCCACTTTGTCACGCACCTTATGCATTTCCAGTGGAAGTTTCTTTCAGACACATATCTATATATAAGGCCAGTCCTGTTCGTGACACCTACCACCCATACGAAGTTTGTTTACTTCGGGAAGCCAATCCAATCGGTGGGCGCCCAATTCCTAAATGACCATATATATAAGGAGTGGAACCGACAACGATAAGGGAGACCGGAATGACCATTTCTGGCTTGTTAGCCGTCATCAGCCAGTCATACCAAATCCTAGGTGTAGATCATCCGGGACTCGAACCCGGGACCTTTCTCCATTGAGTCTAACACTCCACCATTGCACCACGGGCTCGTTATGTTGTCTGTTGTGATCGCGAATATGATGGAAGTAGACTGTTCACCGATATATCTTATTAGGAAATATACTTGTCCCGTTGTGCCTTGAGACTCGTGCTTGAGTGATCGTAGGCAGTCGCTTAGCGACTTCAGACATTAGGATAGAGTGTTGAATTCAATGCAGAAAGGTATCCGGTTCGAATCCCGGATAACCAACACCTGGGATTGGGTATGACTGGCTCATGACGGCTAAGTCAGAATGACCATTCCGGTCTCCCTTATCTTTGCCGGTGCCACCTTATCATCATATATACTAAAGGTCACTATGCGACTGTCTACAAGGGCTCTGAAATGAACTCTAAGACACAACGGGACAAGCACGTTCCATAAGCAGATCGGTGAAGCCCACACCATCATACATATAACAGAAAATGGATGCTTGGTTCCTGTCCCCTATAACTGTTACTTGTTTTTCGTGGACAATTTTATCTCTGACGATGGTCTCCTGCAAGAGCCCAAAAGCTCAGAACAATAAAAAAATTGATCCGGTGCTCGAAAAGCCTTCGTCCTCACTCACAGAAAACATTTTCTGACTAGATGAGTTCCCTATTTGCCATTCATCTACCCGGACAAAATGCTCCAGTCAGAAGAA